AATAATTTTTATAAGGAAAATGAACTTTGAGATCGATAAATTTCAAGTCCTAAATTTCAAAAATAAAGGATCTGGATTCCAAACAAGTATATTATTTATTTTTAATAAATACATTATAATAGAAAGTAAAATATAGAGTAACTACTACATCTACTAATAAGGATAATATTGCTACGTACTATAATTATAATTTATGGTAATTGCTAAAGCTGTATTAATAAAAAATATATGTGACTGCATCATGATCATGTTCACGTCCCATGATCTTCATCCCTTTTGCCAACAAGCAATCTTCATAATTTAAATTTCCTCCGTATACATTATTACCACCAAGATCATTACTTGTTCAACGTCTCTACACCATTTCTCCATTCACCTTAACAATGGCTTTGATGATGGATGATGGAGACCATCATCCAAACATCCATACCCTAACCGCCAACCATAGACGTTAGGTACGTTACTATAATTATTAAATATGAAAAGAATTATTAATTAGTAAATTTATAAATAATATATTTCTAAAATTTCTAAGCGCTATTTACTTTGAAAACGCCCCATTCCTGTATGGTTGGCAATCGCATATCCGCCAACCATAGGCATCGGATCAATAACTATAATTATTAATGTGAAGAAAATACGTTTAGGTCCATTTTGTACGACTAGCACGGTTAGTGCAGTTATATAATGTAAGCAACAAAAAACCTTCATACTTACTGCTAGAATTAAATCATCAATTTTCAATTTTGACAATACAATTTCATCAACTTGACGTTCTATTATTTTAACTAGGTTGATGAGTTTCACTCTTACAATTCTTTCATCCTTCAACCCTTGACCACGAAAATTTTCTAAAAGGTGTTTCTCCACTAAGGGTGGCTTTGCCAGAGATTGTAGAGAAGTATCTGGTGAGAAGGGTGTATCGCAACTTATATTAGTAAATTTATTTATAAAACCATCAAATCTCTCAACGCTATGATATTTACTTTGACGATATAGTGGAGGACCATCTTCGAACACTCCCGCTTCTTGTATGGGTGGTAGGCGCATGTTAATAGTTGCAATATTTAAATATTTGTTTGTTTTATATAAAGTCAGGAATTTTTTTTTTTTTTTTTTTTTTTGTCGTATAAATATGCAAACCAATAGGATGTGCGTTAATAATCGACCAATCAAAACATAGAAATTTTTTAATTTTTTACCAAATCGGTTAACCAAATTTTAATATTGATATCTTTTTTAACTTAAGATCAAACTCTTCAAAGTCGTTTATTTTTATGATTAAATTTACATCTGGTAATCCATACGTTTTTCATGTAATTACTTTTGGAATATGTTAACTATAGAACCAAACGTTATTTAAGAGGGTCAATTGCAGAAGGTTTAGAAGGTACTTCAATAAATGCATTATCTGAACAAGATATTAAATTAATCAAGTTTCACGGATTCATCAAGATGATCGTGATGAAAGAAAGCCAAGTTTGGAAAATACTTCTCAATTTATGTTTTGGGGGGGAACTCATCAATGCTTATCATGGATGAAATCACAGAAATACATTGTTGGAACTTCAAGCGTAGTTGCGTTATTAAGGTTAGTACTAATTTGGTTATTTTGATTAATTATAAATTATCATGGATATATGATATAATACTTCATTTTTATGCAGATCCCGCTTATTCACCGGATCGTCAAAATATTCACCTATTGGTTGCTTGCTGTATTACATGAAATAATTCTGATTAAACCATAGGAACTCGTATAGCACATTTTATCTATCCAAGAAATTCTGAAATTCCTGCATTAGAAATTTTATACAATTGATGTTAAGGGAGTTAATATTGACGGTGGTGGCGATGTGCTAGATTCAGTTTGAGATTGTACTGCAATTGAGTTGTAATCGTTGGACCAGATAGCATTGGAATTTTAAGTTTTATCAATGAAAGTATCAGCTCATGAGGCAGCTTTTGATGATTGTTCTAGTGATATGTCAGATGCTTATGTGATAAATCGGACGGTAGTAATGATAGTAATTAGTGGTCGAGTCATCTTTATTGTACTAATTGTGTTGGTGGTGGTTCGGTTGCTCATTTTTTTCATTGAATTTAATATTCATTTTCTGCCAAAAACTATGAATAAATTAAAACGCAAATGAAAGTATTGTTTCAATTTATATTTTACGATGTTACTAATATATGTATCACAAGATTTTACAATACTTATCGGAAACGAAGGAATAAGCGAATTATAGGGATACTAAAGACAAATTCGATTTTGCTATGATCAACAAATTAATACAAAAAATTCTTTGAATAATCTAGCGACATTAATAACAAAAACTTTCCTCCTCTTGCAATAGCAAAGAGCAAGAAACCAAACTAATTGCATTAATTGATTTCCGTCTGTACTTGTTCTTTTACCTCTACGCCAGTGTTGTACATTTCCATGACCCAATATATAAAAGTCTAATCGCTTATCTATAATAAGTAACACTTGTTAAAAAATTGTTATAATTAATTTTATGAATAATTTTTATAAGGAAAATGAACTTTGAGATCGATAAATTTCAAGTCCTAAATTTCAAAAATAAAGGATCTGGAT